ATCATCCAGCTGATGAAGAAAAGTAGTAAAAGTACAAAAGTCTCTCTCGCTAGCGATATGAAAGGCCGAGTACATATTATTGACTTAATTACTAATCAAACAAGCAACCGCAAATATAGCAAGAAAATGAAACTTCCGGAGTCCTTCCTTGTAACAAGAATGTAACAGTGCTGGTGTCCCTTTCCTTGTAACAAGGATGCTATATTTCGACACATTCATGTTAATATGTAAAATGTGGTCAAAGCCAAGGCCAATACGTGTTCATTAGACAAAGGCTACGAACATGTAATTAACTTTTCGTACCAAGCTTTTGGACTTTGTTGGGCTTCTGACAAAAATAGTCGCATTATAAGTCGGTGGTGTGTTACTGTCAGAGGATTACGAAAGCTAATTCTTGAAAGCTTTCAACACAAAGGGAAGAAAAGGGGTGTATAATTAATCGACGACATTTCTTAGGCTTCACGCTTGAAAGGTGAAACCTATTCACATAAAGTGTAAAACTACAGCTACTGTCGTATAAATAAAGCAGATTGATGAACAAAGCATCAATCTTTTATGTAATTTATTGCCTTTTCTTTGCTAATTGAGTCATAAAATGTCCTTTTTGGTTTATATCTCCTTAATAATCAATTTTAATCTAACGCTAGACCTAGTAACGTAGGTTTGTAACTAAGTAAATCAATAGAATGAGTGTATGAAAAGGTTGAGCCTAGCTCTAGCCCTAACAGGGTACACCCTACCCGCCACAGATAGGTAGTAAGCACCCAAATGATTTGAAGTATGATCAATTTTAATCTTACATATTTAATTAAACAAACAAAATGACTTAATACTAATCTAATCTAGCTAGTTTTTAATCATGTCTAATTCAAATTGAGAAACATTTAATAAACTAAAGAACTAATGATTCTTGGGCTGGTGTCTTTCTTTGTTTAGCGGTAATGCTTGGGCTCTGATAAAAAAAAAAAAAAGAACTTATGACTCCAACCCTTTCATATTTAAACCAAACTCATATATATACACACACTGTCAGAAATTTTAGCTTGCCTTACCAAATATTGGGAGACGAAATATATTTCGTCGGTTAAACGTTTCTTATAGGACGGACTATAGCGACGGTACGGCAACGTGGGAGACGAAATATATTTACGGCAACGTTAGTCATCAAAATTTTGGTCGACTGAAAGTCTTTACACAACGACCATAGTTCGTAGGTGAAGAAACTACTCATAAGATAAAATTTTGGTGCCAAGAAGGAAATGTTTTAACCGACGAACAAATGTGTCATCGTGACAATAAAATTTAGCCGATGAAGGAGTATGTTGGGTAACTTTTCTTGAGGTGGTCAAAAGTCCACTGGCCACCATGTGTCAAAAAGTCCACTGCTTGAAAATTACGCAACATATGCTAAGGAGTTTGTCGAGTAAAGTCTCAGTTGCAGTTTATAAGTCTGTGCCTTTCCTTTCTTTTTCTCATCCATACATTCATTTTCCTCCACCATCTCCTGCGCCCTCATTTTCATCTTTCTCCCTTCTCTCTTTCTTCTTCGATTCAAGACCATTGTGCCTAAACCCTGAACACAAGTTTATGAAAAAGCATCAGCAAACGCATGTCTGTTATGGCCGGAGGTCTAGGGAGTTTATTGAGAGGATACTACTGGAATGTGCAAGAACATGGTGAGGATACCACTGTAAGGCCGAAGACAGTGGTGAACAAAAGTTACTCAGATTTCTTGCATGTGGAAGAAATTGGGAGGATACAACCGTAATGGGCAAAATGCCCTAAATCGTAAGGCTAGGCAAGTCAATAAAAAAGGCTCAGCCTTGTTTATAAAGCTTAGGCGGAATTGGTTTTAAAAGTGTTCCTAGTGATATATATATATATATATATATCTAAGGAAAGAAATACATTTTCAATTAAACTAAAGACTATTATGTTTTGGCACGGTTGATGCTCTTTAATTAGAGCATGTGAAGGATGGAAGCCAAGTACCTCTCACATGTCAGTTTACTTCTCTATGTGCCAAAGCATACCTTGGAATAATGTCCTTGGTTTGAAAAAAAATGCACCTGAACGTGGCTATTTTTCGATGCTGACTCTTTTGGTTTGATTTAGGTTTAATTAAATGTGATGCATTGAATTAACCATGAGGGAAAAGGAAAAATTTTAAGGAGTTGAAATGAACTATGCAAGTGCCTCTAACAGTGACCTGATCAGTACAAGTGTATGTCTGTGGGTGTAAAAGGAAACAAATATTTCTTTTATTTGGGCTAATATTGGGCTCAACTTGAAATCCAAAGAAAAAGAAAAATACTTGTAACCCATTTTAGACATTGCTTTGATAAAATGATTCAAATTAGGATTGGCAAAACAGATGAAACGAAAGCCCAAATATTAAATGACATTTTCTCGCACACTTCCTTATGCTTCACATATTAGTAGTAAATGATTTTCGCACATATATATATATATATATATATATTTTTTTTTTGTCTCTTTCACACTCTTTTTTATTACTAATCATCAAATTAAATAAATCAAACGAAAACAACAAACAACAGATGTGAAAACAACATATGTGTGTAGAAGGAGAAGAAAAGTGTGTTTATCATTTACCTTTTGTTTTAGGTAACGATTTTGACATTTACTTTTAGTTATGTCCATTTCACATGAATGGTAGGAAACTAACAATAGAACGTGAAAATCAATAGCCTCTAAGAGAATTTGATTCTTATTACACATTTATTTATTTTCACAAATGTTCAAAATGCAGACCCTACAAAATGGGCATAAGTTATGCCTCTCACTCTCACATTCATTTTCATCCTGTCTTTAGTTTACAGAAGATGAAATTCTCAGGGAAACCAAAAAAGATGGTCACTTTAAACCCAAGGCTCAATTGCTCATCGACTCTGTCTCGTTCCATCCTTGGTCTAAGCCGAAGGGCACGATTGAAAACTGCTAATATCATAAGACATGTCTCATCCATGGCGTATCTTAGGCCACTTTCGCCAAAGCAATGCTCAGACTTCATAGGCCTAAAACTCCATTATGCCAATGGGCCCTAACTGAGTGAGGAGACTCTAGAACTAAGAGAGGAACTTGCCTTCATCCCAATACGCTACCATAGCATAAGATATATTGTTCAACAACATTTGGGACCAATGATGCAATATACTCTATGGAAATAGTATAACACATGACATTATATCATTAGTTCGGGACACTAACATATAACATACCGAAAGGTGTAGGTAAGTGCATGAATCTACCAAGATTCAAAAAGAGAAATTAAAGCCCTAAGTCAACTAGTGAATTAGGGTTGTGTTCGGTTTCATTCCGTTCAGGTTTTTGTCAAAACCAAAAATTAAATCGAAATTATTGTTCGGTTCAATTTGGTTTTCTTCGGATTTTTTTCTTTAGTTTGTTTTCGAAGAGAAGAATTCAATGTTCCGAAAGTGAATTTTCTGCTTACGTTTACAGGTGATTGGAGATGGCTAAGGTAATTTGGAATGAAAATATTCCTTCTTGTGAAGAAGAAAGCGAGATTTTAAAGCCTACAAATAAGCGGCAGCTCAACAATCTCCAACTTTGCATCTTGTATGTGTGTGTGTGTATATATTATTTTCTTTTTTCTCTTATTATTTTCTCCTTTACATTCTTTACTTTTGTTAGCATTAATTAGCTTCTTCATCTCTTGCATGTACAGAGGGATGGAATCGATGGATGACCTTAGGAAAACATCATCATGACTATATTAAAACAAGGAATGAATCAAGCTACAAACAGGAAGGCCTTTATGCTTAGTCGCGTTTATACGTATTCACCCACACTAAAGAGAATCCTTAAATTTCCTTGGAATTTATCATGAAGGGGAATGGTGCCTTTATGCTTCTACTCAATTATAATACTTAAATCTTTTTCAAGTTAAACAAAAAATTAAAATAATTCACACTATTTTTGAAACGTAACTAAAATAATCCACACTATTTTTGAAACCACAAACTATCTCACACTATTTTTGAAACTAAGCCATAATAGCCCACACTATTTGTGGAAGGGAACAAAATAAATACTATTTCTAAAACTACATCAAAATAATCAACACTATTTCTGAAACTGAACCAAAATAACCCATACTATTTTTGGAACTATAGCAAAATTACACACTACTTCTGAAAACTGAACCAAAATAACCCACACTATTTCTGGAAAGAAACAAAATACAAGTACAAAAAACACTTTGGCGTGACGCAGGTCCTTCGTCGCGAAAAGTCAAAAAACCTTCAAGCAAACGAACCTTTGTCGCGTGCCAACCGTCGCACCAAGGCAGTGATAGAAGGATTGGCGCGACAAAGATGTAACCTACGTTGCACAAAGTGGCTTTGCACGACATAAGAGGTGCATCGTGCAAAGTGACTTTGCGCGACGTAGTCATGCGTTGCGCAAACCCTTTTTTTTATTTTGGTCAAAAAAATTTTTTTTTTTAATTTTTATTAAATATTGTAATTAAATTCTAAACAATAATTAATTAACCAAGCAAAAGTACTTAATTATAAAATATATGAAAATGTACATACAAGATGTTCGAACAAAAAAGAAAAAACTACAAGTAGTCTTCTAGGTTTGATACATCATGCTATTGGTTATCAGCAGGGCGGGGTGGCTCTGAGGTCGAAGGTGGAGCAAGATGAAGTGCTGGTAGCGAGATTTGAAGGTAGGACATTTGTATGGCTCGTACAAGATCTATCACTGTCCCGGCATAGTTCCTCATCTCCTCGCCCTGGCCCTCATCTACTCTTCTTGGACCGCAAGCTAACCCCTTAGGGTTATCACTTCCTCCTTCAATGCATCGACCTCTGTTGTGTTTGATCCGGAAGAAGAGGCACTTGTCTCACGAACCCACTTTCCCCATACATCAAACAACCTTACCATGACGACGATCGAAGTTCTGATCCAGGACATCAGTCATGATCTGAAAACCTACATCCTCATGTACCGCAATGTTGCTTCTTAGAGAACAGCAATGCTCTTTTCCACCATAACAGCTTGTAATAATAAAGAAAAACATATAATGTTTAATAACAAAATATAAATAATATTTGAACAATTCATACATATAAGAATAATAATAATTACATATACTTACATGAAGCTGCTTAGTGGTCTCATTACCAGGTCGAACATAAATGTCCTTGAACATGTCAATCTCTGGGAACTTAGAACCCTCCTGAAGAAAAAAAAAAACATTAAGAAAATTTTATTAATCAATAATAATATATAAATTGTATAAAATTTCAAAGTTAATATACTTTTACTTGACATTGTGCCTCAAGCCTATACGAAAAGGGCATCAAACCGGAATGGTGGAGAAGTTTCTTTGACTCCTGAGCTTTCTTGCCAAGAACAGATTTCTTCTGTTAAACACACAATATACATGTTAGTGCTACTATTTGAAATAAATTAATAAAAAATAAGCTTAAAAAATAAGTAAAACAATAATAAATTATTATTAAAATATTATGTACAAACCACAAAATTTGGGTACTTAAAATGTTTGCAAAGCCATTGCCAATCCTCCGGCCGGTCCTACAACTCGCTTGGAACATGTAGGCGAGCAATATTCGGATCATCCCATCACTTAAAATATGTGTGAAAATTGTTCGTCCAATGTTTGTACCGGGTTGCTAAGGTTTTCTCTAAGTAGGCCATGGTCTCGAGGGATATGTCCTGAAGATCATAAATGACCTATGAATATGAAAAACAATAAAATAATAATCAGAAATTTAATAAAATTAAGATAATATATTTTGGTTTTTAATATTTGTAAACAAAATTTAAAAAATGATAAAGGCTAAAAATTAATATACTAACCGACAACTTGTCTCACACCAGTTTCTTCGTCTCATAGGGAATTTTTGCCCAAGACTCCCACTGAAAAGGACAATTTTGTCGAATAACAACACCACAACTACTGCGACGTTGCTATGCTGCTGTGAGGTAGCCGCTTCACGATGTCACAGGTCATACACAATCTTGATCTTGGAGGCAGCCTGACGTACGTTCTGTGCCTGCTTCAGCATTCGACTAGGCCCCTTGGTGTTTTTTTTAGCTGGCCAAAAATACTTAAAAGGTGAAAACCCTATGCTTAAATTTGTACAAAAAATTCGACACAACCTCCTTTAATAGTTAAGCATTTCCCAAAACCTTAAAACAGTAAAATAACAGTAATTCACAACCTGCAACAGATTTTCACAATTCAACAAATTTTCACCATCATAACAATATTAGTTTTAAAATGAACAAAAAAAAAAAAAAAAAAAAACATCGTGGTGAGAATTAGAAAAAACTACCTGGCTAGGAGGCCTTACCCTTAACTCTAGATGCTGAGGAAGTGTCATCAGAAGGCTCCGGCTCGCGACGACGCCGATGAGGCCATCGTGCACTGAACGACTAAACCGACACTAATGAGGGGTGTAGGCTCCCCATTTAATGGAGCACTCACGGCTGGAGCAATAGATGGTGATAATGTGGGAGGCGCATTGGTCACACTCCGACAATGAGTGATCAACTGTGACATCTATACACCTTTTGAACCATAAAAATATAACATTGGAAACTAATCCTTTCTTGCATTTGAAACCATGTGTGAAAAAAGCAAAGAAAACTAAACAAACATTAACCGAAGATTAAAAAGTGTAATGAATCCAAGGCAACACGATTGATTAAAAAGAGTCAAACCTAAACCAAGAGACCTATCCTAATCTGTCAAACCCCCAACCTAACTTTCTATAATTTGATCTCCTAGGCTTAGTGTGTTTAATCACAACAATGACTAATCGAAGGCAGCACGATGGACTGTTTTTTTTACTGCATATAATTCGATCTCCTAGGCTTAGTGTGTTTAATCACAACAATTACTAATCAAAGGCAGCACGATGGACTTTTTTTTTACTGGGTATAATTCGATCTCCCAAGCTTGGTGTGTTTAATCACAACAATTACTAATCGAAACGACTAAAGAAAACAAATTACCAAATCCATAATCCTTTGCAAATAGAGCCAAGTTAGTACCTCTACTTATCAAGAACTTAATTCTACGTACACACGAAGATCGACTTAAGACAATATCAGATCACTATCCAATGCTTAATTCACATCCAAATATCCAATTTCCTCAAACAAAAAAAATATACAATTTAAGTAAATAACGTGCAGACAAGATTCACTTTAATCAAAATCCACATCGGATTACTGGTTTTCTCATCAAAATTCAAGCATCAGCATATGACTTGAAGAAAACAAACAGAAACCAACAAGGCAAAGAAAACTGATCCTTTATTGCATTTGAAACTAGAAGAAAAAAGCAAAGAAAACTGAACAAATAAACTAGGCCTTGTTGGCTTTGGAATTTTGGGAAAAACAAAAAGTACACACTTAACGGATGACTTTAATTAAGACAGCGAAGAAGACAACCTGAAAGCAATAACCTATATTGGAAGATAAAATCACCTTTTGGATGTTCCCACAAAGCAATGAACCAACGCACCACCACCAGATCTTGTAGCTTCATCAATATAATAGATGCACTCATCAAAGTCCTATAGATGAATAGAAAATGATAAGTTCCCATAATGGGGTTATTTAAATGAGTGTATTATGCACTTACACATGGATGGCAATTGATGTATAAGCACCGATTTTTATTGATGGATAGTGATTTTGAAGTTTTGAATCCTCCAAATAAGGTATGACTCGATTTATGGACATTTTGTTTGTTTGCTTCTTCTTTGGATTAAATTTCATATAATATTGTATTTGTTTTTCTTTGCTGTCTGTCTGCCCCCAAAACACCGTTGCAAGGACTTCTGATTAGTAATGCAAAGATGGAGCATGCATCGCATTCTATGGCAAATTTAAATCTATGGAAGGATCTCTTGGATCCCAAGTCTATGGATGAGTTTGGTAGCAGAAAAAAAAATAAAAAAAAAAGCCATGGAAATGCTAGTTATGTGCAATTATACAGGGGCAAAGGACGCCTCTTTGAAGGAAAAAACATTCAGTTAGAGATGTTATTTTATAAAGGGAATGGGTGTAAAGATAACTTTACATTTTGAATTAGGTTTGAGAAGGTAGTTTAGGTAATAAATTTGGGTTTAAAGAGATATTAATTCTTTAATTAAAAAAAATATGGATGAAGAGAGTAAGTTGGATATAGAAAGAAATTAGATGAGTTCAAATAAAATTTCCTTTTTGTTTATTAGTTTGTCACGTGTGGTAGTTGGAACAATGAAAGGGGAATGGTGGACGGCAGAGGAAAAAGGGGATGGTGGACGCCAATTCATCACCTTCATATTTAATAAGGTAACATGCTTTCTGTCTTCCAATAAAAAAATTAAAAAATTAAAAAAAAAAAAAAAAAAAAAAAACATGCTTTCTCCATCATAAAAAGGGTAACAGGCTTTCTGTTAGCGGCAAGTTTGTTAAAAAAATATTTATTGTGTTGGACTTTTAGTTCAGCAGTGAGTTTTCATGTTTGCAGGGCTTGGTATATGAATAGTTTGTCCTTAAGATTAAATTTTAAGTTCTTTTGGTTAAATAATAGTTTAGTGTTGTTGTTAGTTAAATTAAGTTAGACTAAGCCCTTTTCATTAAAACTCTCATAAAAGAACGGTGGTGTTGATCTCTTGCATGACGGTGTGGGTTCAAACCCCGTCAATGGCTAATCTAACACCTAATCTAACAAAATCTATCTTTTGAAAAAAATAAAAAATAAAAAATAAAAGAAAGGATGAATTGAAAGAAAACTATAGTAGGGTCATTGAGGGTTCAATTGAATTAGATGAATTATTAGATAGAAAAGTGGATGGGTTATGATAGGATTTTTAGTACCTACACAAATAGTGTTAAAAACACTTAAAAATACTTGCAAGAGAATAAAGTAGTTGTAGTATGAATGGCTCAAGCAAAATCCTTTTCCATAGGTATTGAATGAATAATTTGTATTTAAACTAATCCTTAATTAATTATTCAAAATAAAGTTTAAAAAAGATTGATTTTATGACTTAAAATAATAAAAATGAATTTTAATAAAAATAATTAAATAAATCCGCAAGAGAAAAATAACTAAAAGAAAACATTTTTGAAAATCAATTTAAAAAGACACCAGGGTTCCGCCATCACTAATACCAATCATATTGCAATTTTACCAATTACTTAAGAATTTCCACATACATGCTTTGAAGGTTAGGCTTTCCTAATGCATACTTTCCTTGGGACATTCAGGTGAAAATTAATGTATATTTAGCATGCAACCCGTCTGTCATGTTTAGATTAAATATAAACATGCAAGACTCATTAAGTTTTGTGGAAACCCTTTGAAAAACCATGCAACACTTAAGAGCATGATGTTTGCTTAAGTGAACTTACAATTACTAATCACAAGAAGCCCTCCTCAATTTTAGGGTGATGTTCCAACAGGAAGTGTATCACATTACTTGTCTAATTACCCTAATGGTCGTGAATCATTAAGACAATTAGATAGTTTAAACATGGTAATCGATAATTCAAAGCAAGCATGCATCAATTAATAAGCAAATTAATAAAATCACATATTCATGTTAAGGCTCGTGGCCTCACCCTAGCAAAAAGACTAGTTATGCATAATCATGAAGAAAAATAGTATTAAGAATATGGATAGAAAACACCTTATAAATAAACTTGAATCGTCAAAAGCTATCTAAGCCGATTTCTCCAAAATAGTGCGTACAAAACCCGAATGGCTAATTGGCCTTATTTATACTACTACAAAATACAATCCTTCCTAGAAAATGTCTTCTAAAATCTAGAAAACAAAATAACAAAAGGCTAACTTAAAATCACAGTCCAAATCAACTAAGAAAATTTGGCCAGTAAAGAACAAGCCATGTTTCGACACCATCAGTCCTCCAAATTAGGCCCAAAACGACTCGAACTACAACTTAGGACGTTCTAAACATCTTTGCAGAAGAGTTCGAACCCAAAAACCATCATCTTTCAGCCAAATCTCTCAAATAAGGCCTACAGCTTAATCTGACAGTACTGCACTCTGGTCCTTGAATTCTTTGCCATAAATTAACCGCTTGGTAGAAAATTTGAAACTTTGATACGAACAATTTGAGAGACTGATGAACATCTCCAATTAGAATTGCTCCAAAATTTCCCCGTTTGGTCACTTTTTGCTTAAGAGGAAGTTGCATGTCCTACATTGAAAATATGACGCAAAGTATCAAAATCTCACCAAATAATTACCAAAACGTACTAAGGATAGAGGAAAATATGTAGTATGAAATCAACTCATCAGGTTATGTCGGTTGGGGTGAGGCACATGGGAATTTTTTCTAAAGGTTTTAGTATTCTATAAATATTATTTATATTGGTTGAGAGTAAACTACAACTTGCTCTAAATTGAGATTTACACATATTGCCACACAATTTCTCCAAATCAGATGAAAATCAGTAGCACCACCAAGAAAGGATAAAAATTAAAAAAAGAGAACCCATATAGATGACGTAGTCGCACAAACTTAAAATCAGGCTAGAAAAGCCGGTGAAATCCTTGCACAAATGCAAGGATTGACAAGAGCTTGCACCTTTGCAAGGAATGATAAAATCCAACAAAAGGAGGCTGGGATTAACTAGTCTCCACAAAAGCTTATGAGAGTGTAGACACGCAAATTTCGGTGAAATAAATACTCATTGACACATAAATTTTTGATATGCCAAGGCTTGTGTGGCATGCGTTATGTGTCTAACAAATCACACATGACATGTGCTTCATCAAAATCGGACGAGTCATCCAAAGGGACACATGTTGACACTTGGTGAAAACTAATTAAGGAATTATCTTTATTAATTTATATAAATCAAATTAATTGATTTAAAACTCCAAATTAAGGATGAAATATGATTGATTTATTTGATTTAAATCAAAGATAATTTGATTAAATCAAAGATTATTTAATTAAATCAAAGATAATTTGATTAAATAAAAGATTATTCAATTAAATAAAAGATTATTTGATGAATTCAAATCACAAACCAATCCTCAAAACAAGTCATGATTCTTTCGTCAATGAATCAAGTCCATAATTAAGGCCAAAACCAATAGTAAGCAAGACTTGGCGTATAAATATGAGGCTCCAAGACAAAGAAAGGGGCTCATAAGTCATCCGCCTACACCTAGACGCTCAAACTCTCAAGCCTCAAACACCCTTAAATACTCAGAAGATTCCAAAAACTCTTTTCATTCTTCATCGCACTAGTGAAGAACCACCAAACACCCCTACAGGTGCTAGTTCCTCTATCGCCACAAGCCAAAATTTTAAGTTGTTTGTTCATTTGAGATCAAGTCACTGCGAACCTCGGATCAACAACACACACACTTTTCACCCCGGAGATCGAATCAGAGGTATCAAATTTGTAACAAAAATTGTAACCCTACATTTTACATTAATACAAAATTTATTTTATACACATATTCTTGTTTCATTTGTCGCATGAATTTCGTGTTTACGGGGGGGAAGACCCTTGGAAGCAAATGATTTTTACATAAATGGTGGTTTGGGTTTTGGAATGAGAAAAGGAAGGACAGATGGGGTTTAGACAACGAGGTTTGTTTTGCAGCGACCGATGATTTGACTTTGGAATTCCCAAACTGCGATAGGGGTAAGGTTACGTGTAAAATTTGTAAACGGCATTGCTTTAAGATAATTCGGTTTTTGAACCACTAAAATTGAAACCGAACCAATAAATTTTGGTTTGATTTGGTTTTTTAATTTGGTTTGGTTTTTTCTGATTTCGTTTGGTGTTCGGTTCAACTTTTTCTCAGTTTTCAGTTTTTCCAACCCACCCCTAAGTGGATTATTTCTGTCAATAACGGTGTTATCCTAGCATATTTTATCTCAATTATAGATTACTTGTTTTCAAATAAAAAAATAAAAAATAAAAAACTTGTCTTATGAGGAAGATATTGTAATATTTCCTTTTAATATTTTCCTTAAGAGTTTAGGGTTTTCATGCTATATATCCTAATTTATTACAAATTAAAAAATAATCCCTTAATTTTCCCTGCATCAAAGTCCTTCTCAAGAGGTAGATTTCTTATCTTGATAAAAGATCAAGCAAAAGCTCATCCACCAAATACTCTGACAAGGCAATCTCTATTTCCAAACCCAGCTCCTCTTGCTCAAACTCAAACTTGTTCCACCTCCTTCCTTCGTGCATATCTCTCACACAAGCTTCCTTGTTGTGCTCTAGTGATCCCCAGTCCCCACTCATCCAAACTCTTGCTTTGCTAATCATTTCCCTATTAAACCCATCTTCTTTTTTATTTCTTTGAGCACTCATTTCTTCTCTAAAGAAATCAAACAATAGTTGATCTTCTACTAGTTCCAGCTCCCAGCTCTTTAGGTCTGAGCAGCTTGCTTTGCAATGATTTAACAGCTCCATTGCCCTTTCTGCTGTTTCGTCATCTTCTTCAAAGTTGGTTCTTTCTTCGAACGACATTGATGTGTCTAAGTTGATAGGATCCACTGTTACAAGACTCTCAAAGAGCTTGATCTTCTGCATAAGCATTTCTTTTGTCCCTGTTAAAATTTGATACAATGTTAGCATCATACTTAAGAAAAGAAAGAAAAAATTGTGCAAGCAATCTGAAGAAAGAAAGAAAAAAGGGCTCACAACACAATTCATGCCACTAGGACAACTATTCTAAATATCCCAAGGGCTAGCTAGCTGGTTACCGTCCAGATTAATCCCTAGGCTTTTGAAATTTAATAAAGGATGCCTAGACCGCTTAGGTCGCTACTCACACTTAACAAAGAAAACCTACAATAATTACGTTACCAAAAAAACAAAACTCCTTGACTAAATAAGGCTTGAACCACAAGTAATTTCACTAGGGGACTTGGGTGACTTGTCCAGACTGAAGTAATATGAATGACTTGTCTCACTTCAGTCGGGATTTTCAATGCTTGTTATAGAGAGAAAGAAGGAAGAAGACACGTACTCTCCATATTGGCGAGGCTTTGATCAAAATTACTTGAAAATGACGAGTCTTCATCTTCCCCAAATTGAAAACCAATCACTGAAACTGGGCTGTGCTGCTCATCTTCTTCATCACACAGTGGTAGCTCAACCTGCCACATACAAAATTCAATTCAGTACGTACATGATAGAATATAAATGCTTATCACAAAATTTGAATTTGATAGTCAACATTATCATGTCGTTTTATACAAGTGATATTAAGAAAGGGAGACAATCAAATATAGAACATCATGAGTAAGGAAGAACGCCCTTAATAATTTAGGCAGACAGATTGGAGAGTCCTTTTGGTCAAATATGTCACTGGGCCATGCCCCTTTGCCTAGTGATAGAAGTGTTCTTACCTCAAAAGTAACTAAATCACAATATTCAATCGTGTTGACAAAAAAAAAAAAAAAAAAAAAAATAGTGGCAGTGTTGTTTTGGTATACTTTTGTATATTTCAGAACTAAATCCTAAACAATTAACAAGAAGTACTTTGGGATCTAAACTTATTTAAATTAATGGTGACTTGCATTTTGTCTGATATGCACTGTGCAACTGCTTAGCAAAAATTTGAATCGAATATCCTAAACAATTAACAAGAAGTACTTTGGGATCTAAACTTATTTAAATTAATGGTGACTTGCATTTTGTCTGATATGCACTGTGCAACTGCTTAGCAAAAATTTGAATCGAAACAATTAAAGATAATGTTAATCAAGAAATATAACATAAAATTAATAGTTGTCAGTAATCCGTTTATTTGCAAATTGTGTTTAACAGAGCTTAAGCAGCCATTGTTTTTCACTAAAGACAATTTTACTAATCATGTTTATTTAAATATAGACATTTCCGATACAAGTACAGCCAAAGCTTAGCATCTAAGGATCCTCAACAGCAGACACACAATATAAATTTAGATCGCGGTGCACTAAATAATTGACGTACCTTGGGTCCCAATGCGGCGTAACTTCCTGTCCCTGATGTAGCCTCCATGGAATCCCTGCCGACACATGGTGAATATTTTTTACTATCCTCCTGATAGTCAGGGTCAGAGTTGCCACCCCAAGGCGGTAAAAATTCCGAGGTAAAATCACTGTCACACCAGCTCGACCCATTGCTGCTGCTATTACTACTACACGTAGTACATGTGGTGGTGGAGCCTGTTATGGTGGTGCTTGAGGTACAGTGCAGAGGTGAAGAAACATAATCCAAAGGTGGAGGTGGAGGCAACTTCTCATCGCGGAAGGATGTCCACCGTATGATGTCCTTGACTCTCACGGTAATTTGGACTTGGCTTTGACTACCTTGTTTCCTTGATGATCTTGGTGAGTTCTGTTTTGACTGCAGCAGCCTCCTTGAGAGGCTTCTAGGTAAAAACGAGGGGGGTTTTACCGCGGTAAATGGCATGTTTTTAACTGCATTCATGAGAGAGTGGAATGCTGAGATTGTGGTCCAGGCAGCCCTTGATCTGCTTCTGAGTAGTTTTCTGGAAATGGTAGTGGTATTTTCTGAACATGAGTTTTGGGTTTTGGGGGCATTGCTTGGATTGGATGGTAACTGTCTTGGAAATGATATGAAACCACTTGAAGAACATGAGTTAGAATTTTCACCGAGGAAATCTTTGAGAAGCATTCTTGGCCTGCGCTCTATTGGAAAAAGGCTTTCTTTGATGTTGGTCATGCACATTTATTTTTTGAAGATGAATAAATGAAGAAATTGAGAGAATAATTGTTACCCAACAAGGAATTTATGTAGTTTGACAACTCACAAATCAAAATACTTCAAGCCTTTAAAATGGACGATCGCGATGATCAATTTAACATGACAAAAGCAACATAATAAACGATAAAATAGATGAAAGAACAATTAGAACATGAATGTGCAAGTGGAGAGGAAGTATTGAACAAATGAAAGTGAAGCAAATATTTTGGGGAAGTGAAGTGGGAGAGTGCAGAATGAAATTGAAAGAGGATAGGAAGGAGGGGGTTATATTTATAAGGGTTAGTGAGAAATGATGAGAAGTAGAATAGAAAGGGAGAGGTAGCTTTTTACTTCTTTCGGGTGAGGATCTCCAGGTAGTACTATTCATCCATGCAAAATGTCTTTTTATTGGGGGGTTAATTAAGTAAAAGAAAATGTTGAGAAGGTGTGTGGATCGTGCATTGGAGAATAAAAAATTGGGAAAATAAATAAAAAAATTTGGGGAAAATGACACAAAAGTGTAGAGGGTGGATGCTTCTGTTTTGCAGTTAATTTAAAGTGGAAGGAGACTGATTCTGACTGAGTGAGTCAGTGAGTCAGTGAGTGTTGATTTTGGGAGATCTCTTGGTTTTTGAGATAAGGGGGGTTGACCCCTTTAAATCATATTTTTGTGATGTTTGATAAATATCTGTACTTTGTGTAGCGTGAGTACATGAGTCCCGTTGTTCTAGATCCGATGGTTCAAAAAACTTGTGATTCACCTGCTGTTTGATTATAATTTAATAATAAAGAATAATGTGAAATAAAAAAATATATATATAAATAATCACATTTTATTAAATTTAAATCGAATTGTGAGTGATTACAATTCATTCGAACTAGTTTAACTGAAGAAGACTCATGAGTCATGATCATACATTCACATGCAGGATATTGGATCTGTACTACTAACACATGGAGATTGATTGTATGGTTCCCAATCTGTCCTTACTAATTTCTAGAAAGATTATGATCATTAGTCCTATTGCCACTAGCAATTGGCAGAGAGATTTTCTGACAGTGTCTTGATTAGTACTTGTGATTAATAGAGCAAATTTGCATCAAATCAAGATTGATGTAGTATATAATTAGGCTAAAAGATACTGATCATGGTATAATGTACAAGGAATATGTTCCACTCTCTCAAACGATTGGCTTGATATGTTATTAGTCTATCAACCTAACTGTCTGATCTTGTAGATTTTTGTTCACATATAATGGTTAGTATATGTGAACATGACAAGGAAATTGCCCCTTACCGGGACATTTGTTCAAATATAAACATGAAACATGAGTAATTTTTTTATTGTTATTGTAACACTATAAATATGATATTTTTTTTTATATTTATATTACGACATGTGATGTGTTGATTGGTGTTCGACAAACACAGAAAAGAATCTATGGTAGCTTGTGTTGCAAGCATGGTCATACGGGTATATGATATGATCGATCAATTGCATTGTCCTTTGAGGATCTTTATCAAAATATTTGGAACTTGTCCACTAGCTCATGGCCAGGTCATTCAGGCAAGCATACGTGGCAAACTAAGCTTAATTATTTATTACTCATGCAATTGGCTGTGGGACCCAACAGTACGAGCATCCAGTGTTACATTTGAATCCTTATTGTCGGTGGAGAAATGTGGAGTCCGTACAAGATTTTCATGGCAGCAATCGTCTCTCATGCCACTAAGCTAGTGCACAATCTCATCAATGGAGTATGGAATGCCATCAATGGTTTTGACGTGTTCATTAAATGCTCACATTGTATGTCTCAACTTCCCATTGATGGAGAAATTGTTGCATCATGTATGATGCAACACTCTTTGACGAAAAAAAAAAGTGTAATAGCTGATTGTAAGATCGAAAAGAAAATACTTTACTCTCATATTGTAGGGATTCATTATTTCTTACAATACATGAATATGTAATAAGTGATTATAAGATCGAAAGGAAAATACTTTACTTCTTATATTGTAGGGATTCATTCCTTCTTTCAGATAACCCACAATATGATATGTTTGTATAAACATGTCTTGCCTTTTTATGATTTTTGTGTGTTACTAGTGCATTGTGTCATATTGTGATTCAAGGGATAATGGCACGTTGATTTGTCTAACATGTATAAATGGCTAAATGATCTCTAAATTGATTTTATTTATTTATTTTTATTTATACATTTGATCTTTATATGATGATAAAGAGAATGAACGGTTCCGATTATAAATTAAAATACGTTAATCATAAGTGGGAGACAAGTACGTTTCCCTTAAGATTGATAACAGTAATGGAGAAATGTACAGAGAGAGAATGTAGTGAGAGAAAGTAGAGAGAGAGTAAAAGAATATTTTATATGTTATCATATATCAGAATCTGTTTACATCAATCACTTATATATAAATACAACCTCCTTATAACTAACTCAATCTTCTCTACTCTACTAATGACACTTGGCACTATCATAACCATTCCTTATATTTTAACATTTCCCCTCAATCTTATGAAGGGAAGAACCCAACATAAGATTGGAACAATGAACCTGAAACTGAGATGAACATAAACCTTTGGTTAGCACATCAACACATTGTTATGTTGTAGAGACAAACTGAAGCATGATTGTCCTTGTTGAACTCATTCTCGAACAAAATGGCAATCTATCTCGATGTGTTTGGCTTTGGAATGAAGGATAGGATTAGTAACCAATGCCATGGCAGAAAGACTATCACAATGAAGGAGTGGAACAGATTGACATGAAATATGCAAATCTAGTAACAGTTGTTGAATCCATACAATTTCAGCAGTAGTGGTGGCCATAGCACGATATTCTGCTTCAGTAGACGACTGGCTCATTGTATGTTGTTTCTTGGAACTCCAAGAAATAGGATTAGAACCAAAAAACACTACAAAACCAGTTGTTGATTGCCTATCATTGGGGTCCCCAGCCTAATCAACATCAGTATATGCTTTAAGATCAAGAGATCCATGTGTAAAATTAATACCAAGATGCATAGTTCCACAGAGATATCGTAAAATCTATTTAACAACAATGGAATGATCTTCAAGAGGAGCATGCATAAACTGACATACATGTTTCACTGAATAGGCTATGACAGGCTTAGTAAAGGTTAGATATTGAAGAGCCCCAATGATATTTCTATATTTGAAAGGATCTGAGAATGAGGGGCTGCCATGATCCAACAGCTTGTGATTAGGATGGCATAGAGTAATGCACTGCTTGCAATGGAACATGTCGGTCTTGTGTAACAAATCCTTGATATACTTGGATTGATGAACAAAAATACCACTGGATTGATACTTGATCTGTAAACCAAGATCCTTCACATCAAACTCTGTAGTCAACTGATTTATCACACTTTGAACCTCAGCAACACTATTACCTGTAAGAATAATGTCATCCATATACAACAGAAGAATAACAATAGATTGATTCTCATACTTGACAAATAAACATGGATCAGTATAAGAGGATTTGAAACCCAAAGTGAGATGAAATTTGGTAAAACACTCATTCCTGGCTCGTGGAGCCTACTTCAACCTATATAGAGATCTCTGTAGTTTACACACATGTGTTGGGTGGATAGGATCTACAAAACCCTGAGGTTAAGCCATATAGACGTCCTCTTCAAGAAAGCCATGTAAAAAAGCATTTTTTATATCCAATTGTTTAAGTTTCCAGCCATTAGAAGCAATTAAAGAAAGTAGAAGTCTTACTGTGGTAGGTTTAACTACAGGACTGAAAGTCTCATAATAGTCTAACCCGGCTTATTGTGAAAACCCTTTAGCTACTAACCTGGCTTTGTACCAAGCAACAGTACCATCAGGATGTTTTTTTTATCATATAAATCCACTTACACCCAACCAAGTTCTTATTTGGAGGAAGAGGAACCAAGGTCTAAGTTTTCTGCTGAATAAAAACGTCCATTTCTTCTTTCATTGCACCTCGCCACTGTGACAATTTACATGCCGCAGAGTGGGACTGTAAGATCCCGTACTTTTAAAAATAAATATTTGTTATTATTATTTACCACGTGCCTAGCTCTTATCAGTACTAGACTTATTTATCTTGGGAGAGAAAAACAAGTGATTAGTAAGCAACTAGTGTGCTGATTTTTCAAGGCTATTTACTTGGACGTGTCATCCTTTGCACACATGCAACTGACACCTTCCATAACTAGTGACTAAGATCTTGATGCTACATTAGGTGTCACAAGGAAAGTATCACCTACTTACACATGTAGCAGTTTACGGATAGGACTTTATATATTTTATTGTATATTTTCCTTGGACCTCAAGTCTTGGAGCCGTTCTATTTCCCTATAAATAGGAGCAAAGGCTCCATTCTTTTGAAACCACAGAAGCATGCAATGCATGCATTACGTAGAGGTGATGTATATATATGTATGTACGTGTGTGGGTAGATATATTATATATGTATAGAGAGAGATAGCGAGCTAGGGTTTGAGGTTTGTGGAGATGTTAGTTGGGTTGTCTTGCCAAAGCTCATATTATTAAGGTGAGTGGTTTATGTAATATATTTAAAATATTCTTATTTTCTGATAAGCGAAAACCACGAGCTATTGTGGGTTTTCTATATTTGAAACCTTTATCTATTTTCAAGTTAAGCATGCTAGCTTTCGAGAAATATTTTGATGACTATATACATTTTGTGTTGTTGAGATTGTTCATGGAGCATGAGAACTTTAATGTTGCATTAATCCAAGGGATAAATGTAAACTGCACACAGAGACATTAGGAAAAATGGCCATTAGGAGTCATGTGGTGAGTTACAATTTATGAAGGATATAATGGACATGTAAAGGGATGATGTGATATGGAATTATTTGGCTAAAGCTTTGATATTATTATCCTATTTTATAGTGTGATTAAAATGGCAAGCTTGACTAGCATATTATATATTCTACTCACTGAGCGACGGTGGTTGTTGCTAGCCCCTCACCTATTATTTTACAGATGAGTTACTTGGCAAGATAGGTGTTTTTTTTTTGGCAGGACAGATATTGGAAGAATTGAGGTTGTGATTGAGGAGAAGTTTAAGGATTTTTTAATTTATTACTTTTGTACACCCTGTAAGGATTTTGGAGTTATTTTTAATAAGAGGAGTTCATTTTTCAACCCGTGTCAAATTTCCTTTTATTTATTTTTACTTTTATTCGCGTTCCGGGAGCGAAGTCTTATTTTTCCACCGACCTCGAGTTCGGGGCGTCACAAGGACTGAGGTTCTTGATCATCAGATTGAACTTCAACAAAAAAATCTTTCTTTTTCTTAAAAATACCCAACTTGGATCGAGTTTACATAGG